AAAAAAAAAACCCCCAAAAAATTGTAAATTTTTTTGTTTTTTTTAAATTTCTTAAAAAAAAAAAAAAATTGTCTTTACTAAATACCTTGGGACGTCTGCTTTCCAAAAAGCGGTTTTTTTGGGGGATATTTACACTCTCTTGGCTTTTTGGGCCAAGAAATGAGAGGGCGGTCAGTATTTCAAGATGATCGATTTTCATATATTGGCGCTTTGCCGTCCCCTCCCTGCCCAATCCTATTCACCCAGCTCCGGGGCCCCCTGCTCCCCTGGGCCCCATAAAGGACGGTGGTCCCCCCTTTCCCACCCTGGGTACAGTGTAGCATGACCGCGAAATTGCCAGAAAAGTAAGGCTTTGGCAAACAGCAAAAAAGGGCCCCTGGTTTTGAAGGGGGTAAAATTTTCCCGGGGGCATGGTTAATGGATGGCGTCTTAGGTTTGGGTTCACATTTCAGACCGCATCCCCCGCGGACACGGCGGCCATTTATTTGAATGGGTTGCTATGCAGCGTTTCACGCAAGAAAAAAGGTGCATTCAAAAACGCATCTGCGGGAAGGCAGCATGGTTTTTTGATCTTGTGGTTTACTGCAGTTCCGACCTGCGGATGTGTTGTGGGCTGAGATGCGCGGGGGTTGCCATTCGGAATGAATGGCAGCCCGTGGTCTTGTAGAGCAGAGGAATTCGGCTGTGGGTGGTTGGGGGTGCAGGAGATGCTGCGATTCCACCCACCCACAGACCGGCCCCCCCCCCACAGGGGGGCAGTGAGAACCAGCCTTACAGGGGAGGGGGGAATAGCAAGGAGGGTGCGTGGGGGGAGGTACATAGTTTTCACTTAGAGGGAGATATTATGCGGGGGCAGGGGTAGAGGATCTGTGTGTGTGGGGAGGGGGGGGGTGTGCTTTGAGAGGGGAGAGGAGAGGAACTTTTATGCTAGAATGAGGGGGGTTGAATTTGGAATTCCCACCACCTTAACACAAGTCCTTCCCTTCAAAGCAACCCCCCCCCACCAGCGATATTGACCCCTGCTCTGTGTCATTTCTTCTTGATCCCCCTGCACTGATCACAAGCGTTTGTGATTGCTCTACAAAGGCGATTTCTGTTGATGCAGGTTTGCCTCTTTATCATTATTTATTTAAATCAGACAAGGCAAATTAAAAACTTATCAAATCGATTTCTTATGTGATTTCCTCTGATTTGGTCAGCTATATTATGGCATCCACTATTGTGGGCGAGACCAAAGATGGGACATCCTGCTGTCTGATCAGCATTGATCACAAAGCTGATTGTTATTTCTTTGCTTGCATCTGTTAAATCAAGCGATGTTACAAATCGATCTTACATTTATTTTATTTCAGGTATTATATAGCACTGTCAATTTACGCAGCATTATACATGTATATTGTCAGGTACATTCACATCGGTTTTACCCCTAACCGGTTAACTCAGAGGGGTGTACAATCTAAGGTCCTAACTCACATTCATACATACACACTACTAGGGCCAATTTATGACTTGGGATCCAATTAACCTATCAGCATGTCTTTGGAGTGTGGGAGAAAACCCACACAGGCACAGGGAGAACATGCAAACGGTCCATGTTCAATGGAGGCACCATGGTCAAGAATCGAACCATGACCCATTTATTACAAGGCAGATGTGCTAACCACTAAGCCACTGTTGCCATTTTTACTAATGAGCAAAAAAAATATATAGAGAGAGAGAATGATTTTTTTTTTTTTTTAAATCTACATAGTTGATATATATATACAGTGGGGATCGAACGTTTGGGCACCCCAGCTAAAAATATTTGTATTAATGTGCATAAAAGAAGCCAAGGAAAGATGGAAAAATCTCCAAAAGGCATCAAATTAAATTACAGATTAGACATTCTTATATATGTCAACGAAAGTTAGATTTTTATTTCCATCATTTACACTTTCAAAATAACAGAAAACAAAAAAATGGCGTCTGCAAAAGTTTGGGCACCCTGCAGAGTTAATATCTTGTACTGCCCCCTTTGGCAAGTATCACAGCTTGTAAACGCTTTTTGTAGCCAGCCAAGAGTCTTTCAATTCTTGTTTGAGGTATCTTTGCCCATTCTTCCTTACAAAAGTCTTCCAGTTCTTTGAGATTTCTGGGCTGTCTGTCACGCACTGCTCTTTTAAGGTCTATCCATAGATTTTCAATTATGTTGAGGTCAGGAGATTGTGAAGGCCATGGCAAAAAAACCTTCAGTTTACGCCTCTGGATGTAATCCCCCGTGGATTTCGAGGTGTGTTTAGGATCATTATCCATTTGTAGAAGCCATCCTCTCTTTAACTTCAGCTTTTTCACAGATAGCATCAAGTTACCATCCAAAATTTGCTGAAATTTTATTGAATTCATTTTTCCTTCTACTCGTGAGATGTTCCCTGTGCCACTGGCTGCAACACAACCCCAAAGCATGATTGATCCAACCCCATGCTTAACAGTTGGATAGAGGTTCTTTTCATTAAATTCTGTGCCCCTTCTTCTTCCAAACGTACCTTTGCTCATTCCGGCCAAAAAGTTCATTTTAACCTCATCGTCCACAGAAACTTGTTTCCAAAATGCATCAGGCTTGTCTATATGTTCATTTGCAAAGTTCAAACGATGATTTTTGTGGTGAGGATGTAGAAGAGGTTTTCTTCTGATGACTCTTCCCATGAAGACCATATTTATACAAGTATCTCTTTATGGTGGAATAGTGTACCACAACTCCAGTGTCTGCCAGATCTTTGTGGAGGGATCGTGCAGGCAAACGTGGGTTTTGAATTGTTTTTCCTCACAATCCTGCGAGCTGTTCTGTCTGATATTTTTCTTGGTCTTCCAGATCTTGCTTTAAACTTCCACTGTTCCTGATGACTGCCATTTCTTAATTACATTCCGAACAGAGGATATTGACATCTGAAAACGCTTTGCTATCTTCTTATAGCCTTCTCCACCTTTGTGAGCGTCAGCTATTTTCAGTTTCAGTTTTTCAATAGACAACTGCTTAGAAGAACCCATGGTGCTGATTGTTGGGGCAAGGTCAGATGAGTCTGGGCATTTAAAACCTTTGAGATTGACAAATCGCCTGGTCTTCCCAGACGATGATTGAGAACCAGTCCATGACACTGGCAGGTCTCAGCTTTGCAAAGGGGGCAGTGCAATGCTATAAATTCTGCAGGGTGCCCAAAACTTTTGCAGACGCCATTTTTTTGTTTTCTGTTATTTTGAAAGTGTAAATGATGAAAATAAAATCTAACTTTTGTTGACATATTATAAGAATGTCTAATCTGTAATTTGATGCCTTTTGAGATTTTTCCATCTTTCCTTGGCTTCTTTATGCACATTAATACAAATTTTTAGCTGAGGTGCCCAAACTTTCGATCCCCACTGTATATATTATATATATATTATATATATATATATTATATATATATATATATATATATTTATGACATTCAAATTCAGTAAATTTATCATGAGGAGAGTTAATATGGAATGTTCGTAGAACTTTTTTTTTGTGCTAAGGTAGATAAGTCTTTTAATCAGGAGTCACCAAAGCTTTTGCAGAAGAGGCGGTTTAAAAAAAATGTTTAGATGGTGTTTCCAAGCCAATTCTCAAATGACAATAGTTAGCGGAAGAAATAAAATAATACCATTCTCTATTTGCCTTGTGACTAAGCAAAATTGGAAAGTTTGTGTAACCTTTAAGAAGGGTCCAGGCTGTACTTGTAGGTAGTCAAATGGATGTTCATCACTTTTTTTTTAGACACAGGGTTATTTGCACATACTGTATGTATTTTCTGTGTTTAGGGAGGCTGATAGATCAACAGTCAAACAAGCTTGCCAAGGATGAGATGCTTCAGATGATTCGCCATGGTGCCACCCATGTATTTGCATCAAAGGACAGTGAGCTGACTGATGAAGATATTACAACCATTTTGGAAAGAGGGGAAAAGAAGGTAACTGCTGTTTGTTTGTCAGTTCATCATTTTGTTGATCAATAATTATGTACCATTTTATTGAAAGAAAAGATAATGCTTGGAAATGTATTTACCAGGAGGGCAGTTTTCTCTGCTGTCCCTCATCATATAAATAATACATCTTTGTTGATTACATTTTAAAATAAAAACAGGGTGAGAAAACTAAATTATTATAATATAAATACATTTAAAAGCACTGTATGGGATGTGAGAATGGTATCAGTGTTTGTCCCATGGCAGAAAAACACAGCTTTGCTGAGAGTGACAGTGTCTACCCTGGAATTAGTACTTAGCCCCAGTGGCAGTAGATGGCTGCTTTCAGTGGAGGCTTTAAGTCTTGATTGCTTCATGTAAGAAGTGACAAAGCAGAGTCCCTTAGAGGTTTAGTGTTTAGGGCTCAATTTCTTTTTGCATGCAAAAGCAACTCAAAGGAAATTAAAAGCAACTTGTGTACAATTAGAAGTAATTCTAAAGTACACCAAATGTAACCAGCAAAGCTTTTTCCAGGAAGTAAGGGGAAACCTCAGTAGACACTCAGGGAGCAATAAAAACCGAACAGGGTTTACAAACCCTTTTCCAATCTATTAGAACATAATTTATTGCTGTCTTTGTCTCTGTTCTGAATATTTTCTCTAGCTTTCTATTCTGTCTGATCTCTGCAGTCAGGAAATCTCCCAAACTAGGACACAGATAAAAGAGGGGGCTGTCAAATCATGGTACCGTATTTTCCGGCGTATAAGACGACTTTTTGACCCTTGAAAAAATCTTCTCAAAAGTCGGGGGTCGTCTTATACGCCGGTACACGTCAGGGGGCACTTTTTAGGGGGCAGCGCGGTGCCGCCGCCGTCCCTTCCTTCCCACGGAAGGGACACTAAGTACAGGGGTGGGCAGAGGGCTGCATTCTCTTACCTGCTCCCCATGATGATCCATCCAGGAAGCGCTGCTCCTTCAGTCACTCCGGCCACTCCCTCACTCCTGCCACTCGGCTCCGCCTCCTCACCGGTGATTGGCTGCCAGAACTGTAGCTCAGGAAAGGCACACAGGCGGCCAATCACGGGCGAGGAGGCGGAGCCGAGCGGACCCGCGAAAATCGAGTGAGGGTAAGTGTGCAGTGCAGAGGTGCTGCTGCAACCACATATGCTGGCTGCAGCAGTACCATACTAGAAGAGGGTCAGCAAGTGTCATTGGTGTCAGTGGGAGGAATAGTGCCCCATCATTGGTGTCACTGATACTAATGATGGGGCATTATTCCTCCCACTGACACCAATGATGGGGCACTATTCCTCCCACTGATACCAATGATGGGGCACTATTCCTCCCACTGACACCAACGATGGGGCACTATTCCTCTCCCCACTGACGGAGTACTATTCCTCCCACTGACACCAATGTTGGGACACTATTCCTCCCACTGACACCAATGATGGGGCACTATTCCTCCCACTGACACCAATGATGGGGCACTATTACTCCCAGTGACACCAATGTTGGGACACTATTCCTCCCACTGACACCAATGTTGGGACACTATTCCTCCCACTGACACCAATGATGGGGCACTATTACTCCCACGGACACCAATGATGGGGCACTATCCCTCCCACTGACACCAATGATGGGGCACTATTCCTCCCACTGACACCAATGATGGGGCGCTATTCCTCCCACGGACACCAATGATGGGTGCTATTCCTGCCACTGACACCAATGATGGGGCACGATTCGTTGCTCTGACACCAATGATGGGGCACTATTCCTCCCATTTACACCAATGATGGGGCACTATTCCTCCCACGGACACTAATGATGGGGCACTATTCCTCACACACTGACACTAATGATGTGGCACCATCATTGGTGTCAATGGGAGGAATAGTGCCCCATCATTGATGTCAGTGGGAGGAATAGTGCCCCATCATTGGTGTCAGAACGAGGAAGCGTGCCCCATGATTGGAATACCATACCATATTGAAATCAAATCTGATGTTTTTTAATTTTTGGTGTGCGTTGGAAGAGGGGTAGTCTTATACGGCGAGTATAGCTCAAACCCTATATTTTAACAGGAAAAGTAGGAGGTCGTCTTATACGCCCAGTCGTCTTTTACGACGGCAAATACGGTAAATTAACCACTAGACCTCCGGAAGGTTTTACCCCTTTCATGACCAGGGCATGTTTTTGTTATTCAGCACTGCGCTACTTTAACAGGCAGTTGCTTGGTCATGCAACACTGTACCCAGATGAAATTTATATTATTTTTTTCACACAAATATAGCTTTCTTTTGGTGGTAATTTAAAGTGATACCAAACCTAAAAACATAATTTTTACCTTAATTCATTGCTTTCATTAAGTTAAAAAATATTTTCGATTTGTCTGTGCTCCCCCTACCCTTCGTGAAAGGGAAGAGAGGGGAGAAGAGATCTGTGCTGTGCATGGCTGCATCTATTCTCCCTCCCTTCCTCTTTTCACAGGGACTTATGCATCAGTCATTGACTCTTGCTGTTGTCAATTAAATGCAGTGAAGAGGAAGTGGGGACGGGGCTAAGTCCCGCTGTGCATGTCTATGGAGCGTGGCTCCGTAGACACACAGGTCTGGAGTGTGCACGCAGTGTGTGTTCCCATAGCAAACAGCTTGCTATGGGAGACAGACAAAGAAGAGGAGGAACTGAGATTGCCAGCGGGGTACCTGAGAAAAGGAGGATCGGGGCCAGTCTATGCAATACCACTGCACAGAACAGGTGAGTATAACATGTATGTTATTTTAATTGAAAAGCAAATTCAGACTTTAGTAACACTTTAACACTTTAATCAGCACTGGGGTTTTTATTTTTTTGCTATATAAATGAAAAACTACCAAAGATTTTGAAAAAAAAACCCACGTTTTTCTTAGTATAAAATTTTGCAAACAAATAATCTTTCTTAATAAATTTTGGCCAAAATGTACTCTGCTACATTTCTTTGGTAAAAAAAAACCCAGATCACTGTATATTATTTAAAATGCCAGGACAGTAGAAATATGCCCCCAAATGACTCCTTTTTGGAAAATAGACAGTCCAAGCTATTTAGTAAAAGGCATGGCGAGTTGTAAGTTTTTGTCACGTTTATTTTTTAAAATTAAGAAATTAAAGCAAATTCGTTTTTTTCCACAGTTTATTTTACATACTGTCACCAGTGCCATACAGTGTCATCATCTGACTGGTGTGGCAGTGATCAATGACTGGTGAAAATATGTAAAAAAAAATAAATACAAAGTCATACTGTGATTGCTGTTACAGTGATGATCACTGTAACAGCAATCTTTTCAAAACTGTCATGAATTAATTTCATTCATAACAGCTGTGCTTGCTCTAGTGATGCTGTGACTGGCCCACAGCTATCACATGGTATCACATGACTGTGATTGGCCCAGGTACAATGTCACAGCTGTAGGCTAATCACAGCATCACTATAGGAATCACAGCTGTTGTGAATGCAATTCATTCATAACATCTTTGTTGACATTGTGATCACGTGATTGCATAGCGATGACCATAATCTGCTGAGGACACAGCAGTCATGGGAGTGGTGCAAATGTGCACAGTGTACTGAGGACAGACGGCACGGCCAGGCTCAGCAACGTCCCGTCCATCCACAGTAAAAGTACTGTGGGCGGGCAGCAATTGGTTAAGGATGGCAGTGCACAGAAAACACACCTGCAGCATTTCTTTATCTTACATCATGGGACACAGAGAGGCCATAATAATGACTATGTGGGTTATATGCTACCTATAGGTGAATGGACACTGGCTGCTCAATCAAACAGGAAGTCCTCCCCATATAACCCCTCCTACACAGAAAGTTTTTTTGCCAGTGTCTGTAAGGTGGATGTTCACTGAACGTGCTTCATATGCTCTTTGAAGCATACTGGGAAGTCTGAAACAATTCTACTGAGAGTCAAGGGCCTCAGTTGGATCCGTTCAAAAAACTGTTAGCCAAAATGGATGGTACCTGAGCCTCGCTGGATAAGGAGAAGAATGTGTTGCCTGTAATGCGGCTTTATGGCACTGGACCCTGCATTTTCGGAACCCTGTGACCCTGTTTGATCTTACCAGGGCGCTCACGGCAGGGTGCTATACTGGTCCAAGGCAGTAGCCCTCATTTATAAAAGGGGGACCGAGTCCTTGAAGGTCTTCATCACAAGGCCTCTGTCTAGGAGGAGGATACAGTTGTGGATTTGGCAGATTTACCACAAGCCTTGTATTTTGCAGTTGATGCCCTTAAGAATTCAATTCAATAGGTCTCTCGCAAGGCCCTTCTGTTGGTATACATGCGCAGGATCTTGTGGTTAGGCAGCGGAACTACAGTGCAAAAGATTCTTGCCAGGTTTTCCCTTTCATGGAGAACATTTGTTTGTGGAGGACCTAAACAAGTACTGTATATCCAGAAGATCTCAGGGGGAAAAAGTACGCTTTTACCCTTTAAGAAAAAAGCCCGACCTTTAAGGGACCAGGCACTTTGGTGGTTGGTGCTTCTTCAAACATTTCACCATGTACAGGGCTCTGCATCTAGCAAAAATTTCAGGGCCAGGGCCAGAAAAAACCCTGAGTGCAGAAGCCTGCCAGGTTAAATTCTAAGTCTGTTTCATTATGAATGTGCACCTTCATAGGTGCGGGTGGGGAAATACTTTTGGCTTTTGCGGAAATTTGTCAAGAGGTGACCCAGGGCAAGTGGGTCACTGCTACAGTTGCTCAGTGGTACAAACTGAAATTTTGGGGAATTCCTCCTTCCCGTTTCTTAAGGTCCAATGTATCCACGGATCCATTGAGAAGGACTTCTTTGTTTCAGTACTTGACCGGCTTTTGTCCCAGGGCGTGATTGTGGAGGTTTCAGCGGACGAAAGATTCCAAGGATTTTATTCAAACCTATTCACAGTTCCAAAGCCAAATGGGGATGTAAAACCTATTCTAGTTTTAAAGGGGCTGAACCGGTTCTTAAAGATTTG